TGCAGATTATTAATGACATGCAATAAAAGATGATCTTCAATTATTTCACACTGGGGAAAATTTTTTTTTTTTTTTAATTTGAGAGAGAGAGAGACAGCAGAGAGAAGGGCAGAGGGAGAAGCAGACTCCCACTTAGCAGGGAGCCTGACATGGGGCTCGATCCCAGGACCCTCGGTCATGACCTGAGCTGAAGGTAGACCCTTTAACCGACTGAGCCACTCAGGTGCCCCTAAGTTTTGTTTTTTTCTTTTAAATATTTTATCCATCCATTTGACAGAGAGAGAGAGACAGTGAAAGAAGGAACACAAGCAGGGAGAGTGGGAGAGGGAGAAGCAGGTTCCCCACTGAACAGGAAGCCTGATACAGGGCTCGATCCCAGAACCCTGATATCATAACCCAAGCCGAAGGCAGATGCTTAATGACTGAGCCACCCAGGAACCCCAGGGAATAAATTAACAGTGAAACCAACAGTCCTAGTCCATAACCAAACTAAATGTATTAAACAAAACTTCTCATACTAAGAATGTTTCTCCTGCTATATTGTCTCCTTCCTTTCTTCCCCTTCCTCCATTCCCTCTGTACTATTTTTTTCCAAAACGTATATCCCCAATCTTCTGTTAGGATAAAGAAGTGGCTGGCACTTGGTTGGCCAGTTAGGGAGGGGATCTTAGAGTACAACTCGTAAACAGACATTCACAAACCCTTTTGTTTTTAGCTTCACTTGTGCCCCCCAATTCCCTAAACACTGGGTTTTCCCAACTCCTTGAAAGCTTTGAGTTTCTGTAGTGCAAATCGTGTTGCCTTTTCAGCTTTCCTCGCTGCTGGTTTGGAATTCAGCTTTTTTCAGGTCCTCTAAGTTACCACACTTCCTTCTGCTTTTCAGTTTCCAAAATTTTGTTCCTATTATCTTCTCTCCTACGTTTGTCATCATAATAGTTTCATGGCTTTTAAAATAATCCTTCTACTGGCTTTCTAGTGACATTTCAGAAGGAAATGGAGGTAAATGCATGTGTTCAATCTGCCATCTTGAATTAGAATTCCCGCTGACTTTATTCATCCTTCAAGCCCCAGCCTCAAATGCCATTCCTCCTCTAGGAAGTCTTCCCTGCTCTTCCTTAAGACAGAATTAATCCATTCAGTTATGACACAATATTTAGTGAGTCTTTTTATAGGCATCACATTGTGTTCAAGGAAGAAAAGACACCATTTCTTAACCTCAGAGAGTTCACAGTTTATGGGTAGGAGAAGACAATGATATAGGCATTTAAGACTCAGCATGGCGAATGCTAGGGGAAACAAATGCTATCCAGAGGGCCATGGCTATCTAGAAGACAATGACCCAATCAAGGCAGGTAAGAAAGTGCTTCCTACAATAAGGCACATGAGCTGAGACATAAAGGTTGAATAGGACTTCGTCAAGTAAACAGTGGAGAGAGGCATTCCAACTAGAGGACTCAGTATGTGTCCCCTCCAATTCAAAGTAGCCTTTCCATGAGTGCCCGGCTGGCTGAGTTTGGTAGAGCATATGACTCTTGATCTAGGGACTGTAGATTCGAGCCCCACATTGGGTGTAGAGATTACTTAAAAATAAAATCTTTTTTTTTTTTTTAAGATTTTATTTATTTATTTGACAGAGAGAGAGCTCATGTAGGCACAGAGAGGGGCAAGCAGACTTCCTGCTGAGCAGGGAGCCTGAAGCAGGCTCGATCCCTAGACCCTGAGATCATGACCCAAGCCAAAGGCGGGCGCTTAACCAAATGAGCCCCCAAAAATAAAATCTTTAAAAGAAGAAGAAGAAGGAGGAGGAGGAGTTGTCTCTCCAGAGTACAAATCTGACCATGTCACTCTTTAATGAAGACTCTTCCAAGAAGCCCACCCTGGGTTCTAATAACACTTATCATCCTGTACCAGAGTTATTAGTCTGTCTCCCTCCTTCCTGTGAACTCAGCCTGTGAGCTCCCTGAGAGCAGTCCTACACAGTTCATTGGTGGCACTTAGCCTCAGACTGCATAGGTCAGATTCGGCTTTGTGATTCTCTTGCCTTTACTATCCTTGGCCCCTCTGGTGGTCTCCAGGATTCATCCGGTTGAGTTTTACTGTGTTGATGGGAAATGAATCTGAGAACTAGATTCTATAGTCCTGTGACAGTGGGATTCCCTGACTGTGACAGCAACACTTCCCAGAATAGAAAAAAAGCAAGGCTTTCTTGCCAGAAAAAGAAACACTCATTCCATACCGCCTCTTTGAAAACAGAAAGGGGATAAATCCTCAGGAGAGATGCAGCCTCAAAGACCACTCCAACCCAGTTCTCTTCCCAGGGGGATTCAAGTCCCCCACTAACCCTCTTAACAAAGACACATCAGACTCTGCCCAGCCTTGGGGTCACAAGTGTGGCCTCCTCATTGCTCAATCCCAATCAGGCCCTGGGGTAAAGCCCGGAGATCCCAGGCTCAGCTCCCTGGCCGTGGATTGAGATTCTTAGACAACTGTTACTAGAACTATCTGATCCCACAAGCCCCTGTCCCCTCATCCTCAAAGAGGCAGAAAAACTGAGGCCAACAGAAATTCAGGGCTCTGCTCAAGATCTCAAATGATTCAGGAGCTGGGCCAGAACTTGAACCCATGACTTCCCCCTTCTTGCCTAAAGCTTTTTTTTTTTAAGCCAGCTCTGTGGGGGTGGGTTGTCTGCAGCAACAGTTTTTTTGGGTAGGAGGATTAAGTAGGGAAGGTTTCCATTGTTTCCCCTTCCCACAAATCCCGGAGTCTGGCTGGTTCACTCAACCTGTGAGAGGCGGGGGTAACCAAGAGGAAAAGAGCCTAGAGGCAGGAATAACCTTGGCTTTAAGAGCGGGCCTGCCCCCGGCTCTGCAGGATTGCTGGGAGAGGGACAGTTGAAGGACTGTGCTTAGAGAGCTTGAACCCGTTCTGCCACCAGTGGCTTCAAGGGAAACCCTCTGCCCAGCCCCGCCGCTCCCCCCCAGTGGGCAGGGCTGACTACACAAAGACATCAATGACATCTTGGCCAAGGAAGGAGAAAGGAATCGGGGTAAGGAGCGCTTCCCTGTTCTGGCCCCCAGTAGGTTCCCTCCTGTGTGCCTTTAATGGGCAGCTTAGGGTCCCATACCAGGCTAGGTCAAGAATGCAGAGACCTAATCAGAAGTTAAATGAATGTACGCCCTTAAAGTTTACAAACAGCTAATCACTACCAAAGGCAAAAGAGTTAGAGCCAGAGAAAAGGCATGGCTTCTCCACTGGCTCCCTGTGTGAGCCCAGCTGAACCCCTTTAACACCTGCAAGCATACTTCATCTACAGGACGGGGAAAAGATGACCGCTTTTCTCACTTCAGTGGCATAAAATGTCTTTAAAGCGCCTGGCACAAAGCAGATCTCAATGGTAAAAATGTAAAGTGCAGGAAGATCATGTGAGTTCAAAGCCTGGCTCTGCTTTTTACTTTTTTGTATGACCTTGGGCAGTTACTTAATCTCTTTGTGCCTCAGTTTCTTTATCTATAAAATATCATTTGCTAATAGGGTTACTGTGAGGATTAAGTGAGTATTTTGTAAAGTGCTCAGCATGATGCCTGGCACCACTCTGTACAAAGAAGCGAAGCAAGCCCCTCCCTTAGGTGGGCAGTCACAGCCCTGCTCTGAAGAATCTGGCATTCCCCTCCAACCTTCAGGGCCGAGTGCACACATGGCATTTAAGTTCTTCCCCCATGGAGCCTTCCCTGATTGCTCTGCCCAGAAGGCTCTCCTCCCTGCCTAAGAGCCCCCATGCCCTCCTTCTCTGTTCTCTCACAGCCTAGCTAGGCAGATGGTGGGCTCCAGAAAGACCTATTAGCTGACACACTCACTATGGCCTCCTGGATCAGTCCCCCAGAACTGGCTGCAAATTGGTGGCAGGTGTAAATTACCCCCTTCACCGGAACCAGGGCCTTGGGGAGCCTGGACAGCCCCAAATGCCCTTCTGGCTCTGAATCTAGACCAGCAGCAACAGGGGAGGGGGAGGGTGCCTATTTCCTTCTCTTCTCCCCAAGAAGGTACAGATGAGATGCAAAAATCCTGTATACCTGGGGGGCTATACCAGGAGGTGATGGAGCCAATAGCCATGGCGCTGCTACTCTGACCACCCAGGTTCTAGGGACTTCCAAGTACTTTATGTGGGGGTTGGGGGAGTTGGGGAAAGGGAGGATGTTTTGGGTAGCCCTAGACTAGGGCTTTTTCACCCTGATCTCTTCTGTGCTGAATCCTATCATGAACTCCCAGGTCTCAGACTAGCAACCCCTGGACCCAGTGTGCAGCAGAAGAAACTGAGGGCCCTATAATGGTGGGCAGGGCATAGATGGCG